GTCGGCGGCGATGTACAGGATCTGCTGCTCCGAGCCTGCGGGGCGGGGAGACCGGTCGGCTGGCACCCCAGCTGGGCACAGTGTGGTCGGGGCGCTGCCAGGAGGGTCTGGCCTGGCGTGGGCAGTGGGACCGAGCTGCGGCTCCGGTTCGGCCCGTGGGGAGCCCAGTGGCCTCCCACCATGGGGCACACGCCATGCGGGGCAGAGGCAGAGGGCGCCGGGTCAGGAGGGGTCCGCACGGCTGGGGAGAGGGGAGCCGGGGTCCCCGGGAGAGGCCCCCGCGGCCGCACGCCCGCCCACGCGGCCCCCTCGGTACCTTCTGCTTTGCAGGTGTGATGGGTTTTCATGAAGTTCCGGGCGCAGCTGCAGACGTGGGAACCCTTGGTGTTGTTGCAGAGCTGGGAGCAAGTCCCGAAGGTCAAGCACTCGTTGATGTCTGGGTGGGGAGTGGAGGTCAGAGGCCGGGGGAGCTGCGACGGGCCCGGCCGTACAGCCCCTCACCCCACCCCTGCTAAAGGACCAGCCCTGGCCGAGCAGTTGAGCCGTCGTGCCCTGCTGGTCTCCCTGGTGCTACCCGGGGCTTTCTCGGTGCCAGGGATCCTGCCTCTGCACCTGGGCCATGCCCCCAGCGGCTCAGCGGCGCAGCTGCCCCAAGGGGGGGATCTGGGCTCTGCAGAGGGCTCTGGGCAGGGGGCCGTATAACACATCGGAGGGCTCTGTGCGGTGCCCGTCAGCTGCTCCCCGCTGGGGGCTGGCACAGCGTATGTCTCCGAGGCAGCACGGTCCAAGGGGCAGAGTCCTTGACTGGGACTCGGGAGGGCGGGATCCAATTCCTGGCACCCACCCTCTGGGAACCAGGCCCCTGTTCCTGAGTCCCTGGGCAGCCCAGGAAATCGTGGCTTTGTCTCCTTCCGGAGGACTACCCCCCGGCCCCCCCCTTGGCTGCTGACCCCCAGCAAGCAGACTCCGGGCCGGGCTCTGTCCCTGGCTGTGGTACCTTGACAGGTGTTTTTGTCGGGTGCTTTCTGGAAGCCGCTGCGGCCGGGGGGGGGTA